GGGATTTTTGATCACCGTTCTCATGATCATGTTGACCATGTTGTTCATCTTGCGTGGAGCCCCAGATGGAGGGAGATTATCAGTAGTCTTGTATGTCTTCTATTTCTTTCATGTCTTCACTCTTCCCAGTCTGGTGCAGGTCTACAATTCTTTTCCTGGTGTCCTTCGACAGCTCTTTGGTCTTGGCCATAGTGGAGTTTGGAGTCTGACTGTTTGAGGCTGTGGACATGTGTCTTTTATACAGATAACGAGTTCAAACAGGTGCCATTAATACAGGTAACGAGTGGAGGACAGAAGAGCTTCTTAAAGAGGAAGTTACAGGTCTGTGCCAGAGATCTTCCTTGTTTGAAGTGACCAAATACTTATTTTCCACCGTAATTTACAAATAGATTCTTTAAAAATCCTACAATATGAATTCCTGGATTTTTGTTCACATTCTGTCCCTCACAGTTGAAGTGTACCTATGATGAAAATTACAGACCTCTGTCATTATTTTAAGTGGGAGAACTTGCACAATCGGTGGCTGACATATATATATATATATATATGATATACATAATATCGGCCACAACATTAATTGTCTAATGTTCATTCTTATTTTTATCATAAATGGCCAATGAATTTCACTCCTGTCTAGGGATACATGGACAAATACATGATCAAATATGTAGATTTGATGTCACGTACAAAGCAATCTACATCTTTTGAGGTCTTTCACAATCTGTGTTATCTAAGTAGATGTTCATCAATGCGAATGGTCACGAGCATTCTTAGTTTGTGTACAGTAAGAGTGAAGCCAGGAAAAGAATTTAAGTGTCAAAAGGGGATGGGAAACGGCAGCAGGATGTCAGACCTATTTTTTGTTGTTGTTCACATGAGTGGATTCAGGCAAGGCGTGCTCAAATGTAAACAAATTAACTTGCGTGTTCAAATATTATGAACTGCACGCTCCAGGACGCGCTTCGGGCTTTGATCCTATACTTATGCAAACACAAACACACACCTCATGTCAGAAAAATATTCGCAGAGTCAAGACCAGTTTCAGTGAATGAAGAGGAGGAGAAGGATCAGGCCAAGAGCAGAAATATAGTACACATACTTGATAACTGGAGATTATGGGAACTTATAATGCTCAACAAAACATGAAAAAAGCACTAACATCACCCAAGGCCTTAAAATCACATAATCAAAGTGTAGTCAGAAGAGTGAAGATGAAGTTGTATGCACAGCTAAACAGAGCTGTTTTAACCTGGATTTGAACATTCTCAGTGTAGAGCCTGCCTCACAGTTCCAGACTGTTTCAGATTTTTTTCTGCATAAATAGAATTCAGATTGTCCTATATTATTTGCGATAAATTTAAAATGATTAAATCTAGGTAATTGAAGCAATAATTTTGTCAAAATACCTTCAAAATATAAAACATGCATTTAAAAGTGTCCACTTCTTATAACTACTATAAAAGCAATGTGTGTCTATGTGCGTGGAGCGTGTGGGATGGATTATCAGATGATTTGAAATATTTTAAATGTTTTAAAAATAATAACTGACAACATTTGAGGAGGGAGTGAGGCCTCCAGCACAGAGGCCCTGGTGGCATTGCAGAATATGTCGCATGCAGAGAACAAATTTCCCTATATGGGGTCATAACGCACAAATTAACTCAACTTAGCTTGATGGTATTTATAATCGAGAGAACAGTTTCTTAACCTGGCAAGAGCCAGATTGATGATTGTGTAGAACTCTAAACGCGTTCTCCACTATATACATTGTAAATGCAAACAAGCAAGACCTTACCTTGTCTCCTCACACCATTCTGGGTCACCTAGAAGAAATTAAAGCAGTGTATCCAGTTACAGCCCAAAGTCCTGAAAACACACCTGAGAGACTCGATAAGGATTGTGGTATTCAGGCCCGGGTAAATGAGGTTACCAGCAACTCCCACTCCCACAATAAGCCACCTCAGTGGGATCCCCCAGTTAAACTTGACCATCTCAGTCCTCACCAGCAGCAAGTAGTAAAGCAGCTGCTACACGAGGAGTGTCACGCTTTTGCTTATGATGACAAAGATGTAGGATGTATCCTGTCTTTAAATATGCACATCACACTCCATGACACTACTCCTGTGAAAAAGACATATGTTTCAGTCCCGAAGCCCCTGCACCAAGAAGTTAAAGCCTATCTCCAAGACCTGTTAAACAGAGGGTGGGTTTCAGAGTCAAGATCGTCCTACTCATCTCCAATCGTCTGTGTCAGGAAAAAGTCAGGTGAATTGAGGCTATGCTGTGACTACAGGGAACTCAACAGGAAATCAGTACCAGACAGGCACCCCATCCCGAGGATTCAGGACATGTTGGACTCTCTTCACGGCAGCTCCTGGTTCTCAGTGCTTGATCAGGGCAAAGCCTATCATCAGGGTTTCCTAGATCCAGGTAGTCGCCCCCTGACAGCTTTCATTACTCCATGGGGCCTGTACCAGTGGAACCGCATACCGTTTGGCCTCAGCTCAGCTCCAGCAGAGTTTCAACGGAGTATGGAGGACTGTTTAAAGGGACTGCGTGATGCCATCTGTCAGCCCTATTTGGATGATAACTTAGTCCACTCTCCATCATTCGAAACTCACCTACAACATATCCGTGATGTGCTGCAGAGGTACCAAACACATGGTGTGAAGCTCACTCCTCATAAGTGTGATGTTTTTAAGAGACAGGTCCGGTTCCTGGGACGGATGGTGTCAGAGCAGGGGTACACGATGGATCCAGCTGAAATAGCCCCGGTTCAGGCACTCAAAGACAACCCTCCAAGCACTGTAGGTGAGCTGAGTCGTGTCTTGGGTTTCCTGTCATACTACCGGTCATACATCCCAAACTTTTCAAAGATTGCCAAACCACTTTACCAGCTCCTGACCCTGCCCACAGCTCAGCCGCCACCACATGTGCCTAAGACGGGTAGAAAGGTTAGTGCTAAACACAAAGGGCGACCACCACCTAGAACACCCATTATCTGGACTGAAAACCACCAAGAGACTTTAAACAAGCTCACAGACTGTTTAACAGAGCCACCCATTTTGGGGTATCCAGATTTTGCACAGCCCTTTATACTCCACTGTGACGCCTCCCAAGAGGGCCTAGGGGCCGTATTGTACCAGCACCAAGCAGGTAAACTGAGGGTAATAGCCTACGGTTCACGCACACTAACACCCCCAGAAAAGAACTATCACATGCATTCTGGGAAGCTAGAATTTTTAGCTTTAAAGTGGGCGATATGTGAACGCTTTCGAGATTACCTCTTTTATGCCCCTCATTTTGTTGTTTACACGGACAATAACCCTTTAACTTACGTTCTCACCACAGCAAAACTGAATGCAACTGGTTATCGCTGGGTAGGGGAATTGGCCGACTTCAACTTTACCATCAGATACAGGCCCGGTAAGAGAAACGCTGATGCAGACGGCCTGTCCAGACTACCTCTTGACATTAATCAGTACATGGCACAGTGCACTGCTGAAGTAAAACAGGATGTCATTAAAGCGGCTGCTGATAGTGTTTGTTTCCAGAAAAAAAGCGCAGGTCCAGAGAACTATATCATCAGTGAACAGGCCATCAGTCTAGTCCAAGACACAGCGGCACCCCCAGACAAGACACTCTCACAAGCTGAAATCAGGGCCAGCCAAGAAAAAGACTCTGTCATTGGGCCTGTCCTGAACTACAAAATCAGTGAGTTCATGCCCAAAGGTCAAGCTTTTAAGAAAGAGTCCCCTGATGTGAAAATCCTCCTGAGACAGTGGAACAAACTACACGTTAACGAGGATGGCGTCCTCTACAGGCGAGTTAAGGGTAGAGACCAGCTCCTCCTCCCAAAAGAACACCATAATACTGTCTTCACTGAGCTACACAGAGAGATGGGACACCTGGGGGCAGAAAGAACGTTGGGACTGATAAGGGACAGATTTTTCTGGCCAAGAATGCAAAACGATGTAGAGCATTTTGTTATGCATGCCTGTGAGTGCCTAAAAAGAAAACGCCCCAATAGAGCAAACAGAGCCCCACTCACATCTATTACCACAACATATCCCTTTGAACTGGTGTCGATTGACTTTTTACATTTAGAGACATGCAAGCACGGATACGAATACATCCTGGTGGTAATGGATCATTTTACGCGCTTTGCAGAGGCATATGCTACAAAGAACAAGTCAGCTAAGACAGTGGTGGACAAAATCTTTAACCACTTTGCTTTGAAGTATGGCTTTCCAGTGAGAATCCACCACGACATGGGCCGAGAATTTGAAAATCATCTGTTTGCCCAGCTCCAGAAAGTCTGTGGTCTCCGTGGTTCCCACACTACCCCATACCATCCACAGGGGAACGGGCAGGTAGAGCGTTTCAACAGGACCCTGCTCTCCATGCTGAGAACCCTGACAGACAGTGAGAAAGCAGATTGGAAAGAATCACTGGCCAAAGTCGTGCATGCCTATAATTGCACTAAGAGCGATGCCACTGGGTTCACACCATATTACCTGCTTTTCGGCCGCACTCCCAGACTCCCAGTAGACATCCTGTTCAACTTGCCCATCCGAGAACAACAAATCAGCTATGAGGAGTATGTACAGAAATGGCAGTCACAAATGAGAGAGGCTTATCAGATTGCATCAAAGGCGGCACAGAAAGAAGCTTTCAGAGGCAAACACTATTATGACCAAAAGACACATGGTGTTCAGCTGTATCCAGGTAACAGAGTCCTCCTTCGCAACTTCAAAGAGAGAGGGGGGCCTGGTAAACTCCGTTCATACTGGGAAGATTCTGTGTATGTGATAGTTGCCCAGAAAAGCCCTGACATGCCTGTTTATGAAATAAAGCCAGAACAAGGGGGTAAAAGCCGTACGGTACACAGAAACCTGCTCCTCCCATGTGACAGCTTACCTGTGGAAGGACTGGACAACAAACAGCAGAGCAAACAAAAGAAGAAGACACGAACTAAAGAAAGGAGACAAGAAGAGGCATTACAAGAGGCCACAGACACGGACAGTGATGAAGAAGGCGCTCTTGTCTGGAGATCTCCTCGCCTGCGGATTCGTGAGGAAAGCAGAGCTCAGGTGCACACTCCCGAACCTGAGCTGGAGCAGCAGCTGGACCAACCCCAGGCGGTAGACTCTCATCACCATGACGACCAGGCCACCGCAGCAGAAGATGGTCAACTGGCAGCAGCCGGTGAGGCAGACCAGGAGCAGCTCAGCGACAATCCTTCGGAGGAAGATGCGCCCCAGCAGAGAGGCAGAGACTCTGATGTGCAGTGGTCGACATCTGCTACCCACATATACCCTCAGAGGGAGCGGCGGCGGCCCCAGGTCCTCTCCTATCACCAGCTCGGACACCCGACCGTGAGACCAGTGGGTATGGACTGTATCGAGGTGAGTGTCCCACCCACATGCTCACAGAGACTCTGGAGACCATGGGCGTCCGACACCACGCAAGCAGCTTATTAAAGACTAGTAGAGTGACACAGACACTATAAGACTGCAAGAAGAAATGTAAGTTATTCCGAAAATGCTGAAGTGCAACTCAGGGAGACTAAGTTGAGTATATTGCACATATGCAACAGTGTCTACATTTAAACAATGTGATGATATGGTAACAGACAAAGTGATAAAGTTGGCCGTTTATGTGTCTGGTTACAATGGTAAAAGGTATTATTCACAGTAAGGTGAACTTGTTTATTCATCTTGAGAAGAAATCTGGTTATTCCAACAGAAATTTTAGTATTACTTGGTATAGTATTCAAATGTCTACTAAAAGGTAATTGCAAGTTTTTTTTTTCCTATAAGCAATGCTAAAAATGTGATATATAACCACCAGTTAAGCTCAAGGGACACTGTTTTGGAGTAGAGAAAAAAAAAAAATGAGACAGCATTTTTTTTTTCCTTTTATTAAGCAGGGGAGGGTGTGGCCCCCAGGACTGTTTAAGTATAATAAGATACCCCCCAATTAATTTTCATTTTAATTAACCCTTTTATTTTACTACTAATGTTTCTTAATTTTGGCTGTGTACTATTTACCCGTTTCTGGTGCTATGTTAATTTGCGCCAGAAGATGGCAGTAGTGGCACGTAAGTAGGAGACTAACGTCCTGGTCTCGCGCAGAGTTAGCTCAGTTCTGCGTAAGGTTTTCAACTGAAGTCCACGGAGGCAAAGCCGCGTCTGAAAACTATATATGTTTCTGTTTACAGGTGGGTTAAGTACACTAAGCACTCTATGGGTAACATTAGTGGGACTACTTGTAATTTCGGGACGATGTTTTATTTATTGAAATTGTATTTTTAGGTTCTTTGTACAAAACGTTAACTGCTAACTACCGTTAGCGTCCAGTTAAATATAGACGTTGGTCCGATTTGTTGCAGTTATTTTCTATTACCTATATAGGTTCATCGTAGTAGTTGAGTAGATATATTGTGACTGGTCTATTGGTAAATAAGTACTTTTATTGTACTGGAGATCTGTAATTTGTAACGTTTATGTCAAGTTTAAGCTTGTTTTTCTTTTTGTAAAAAACATGTTAAAGAGACTGTAAGACAAGCAACTGTGTTATAACTAAAATATGAGTCTGCATAGTATAAAGGCAGAGTTAGCTCAGTTCTGCGTAAGGTTTTCAACTGAAGTCCACGGAGGCAAAGCCGCGTCTGAAAACTATATATGTTTCTGTTTACAGAATAAAAAAACCCAATGTTACACCCCAGCCTGTGTCTGTCTTCACGGGGGTAACAATTAGAATGAAGTTCATTGAATTATGTTTGCATAAAGTATATTGGTTACTGCAAGATTAGGCACTTAGACCTAACACTTACACTGATGCATTATTATAATTATTATTATTATGAACCAACTCAGACTTTGAGGAGCACTGGCCTCCTGCTGGTGCCCAGAGTCGCGACTAAACATGGGGAGGCAGCGTTTCAGAATCATGCAGCTGAAATCTGGAACAGCCTTCATGAAAATTTGGGACAGGCTTCTACTAGTATTGCTATTCTTTTGAATGTACTGTGTCTTTGCATGATTTCAATGCAATGTATAGTTGTTGTAAGCACTATTGCCTTGTGTATGAACTGTGTTATAGTTCTTATACGATCTGATATAAAGACAATTAGTTAATTTTTTGCTAAAATGAACAAGATAAAAAGTCCTGGTAAAAATGACTTCACTTTCAAATTTCCACCTCACACGCCACACTATTTCACATATCCGATTAAACCATACACTGTAAATATTAAAGGACGTAGTCACGCCTATCTCCGCCGTTCAAACTAATGGGCCAAAAATTGTGCTCTACTGGAGCTATCCAAAAATTGACAGCGACTAAACCAGAGTGGTCCAAAAAAATTCACTCCTCCCAGCATTGAAACACATGTGGAACGGAGCTTCGGGCCAAGAGCCAACTTTTGGACCATCCTGTAAAGACGTTTTCGAGAGGAAAGAAGATGCTATATGTAAGCATTGGCTAATTCTTATTCCGGGTCCACCCCCATCGGCCCGGGGTGGTATTGCAAGCATGTCAGCGCACGTCATTTTGGCCACTTTTGAGCCGGGACCCGCCCCCACTGGATTAAACGCATGCGCCTGCCAAAGTGCCCCTCCACAGCCAAGCACTTCTCTTCACGCTGGGAGGCCAGTTGTCTGCCATTGTCCATAATTAACAGCCTGGGTCTCCATGTCTCTGGATGAGCACTCAGACGCCATGTGAAATTGTTACGTTTTTGTCGGTGCGTTTAACGGAGGCGCGCTGAAGTGTGCTTGACGGTGGCGGCTGAGATGCATTAGGTGAAAAGGAAAACCGCCAGGAGAAACCGAGTGATTGATCTGTCACTCTAATGTAGATCTTTGCACCAACCCTATAATGCCAAATTGGTTGCTCAGATGTGGAATGGATGTTTGACATGACTGGGAAAATTAGGAAAAATTTGCACAAAGATAGTTGCCCAAATCATGCTTTTATTTTGTTGTTTAATGTGAAGTCATTTCTTGAAGAGAAAATAATAATAATCATAATAATCAACACTTTTTATATGCCGCTTGTTTGTTGTTGTGGAACGTGTGAAGCATCATTCGCCTTATTCATTCACTTCATACTCAAAGGTACTTTAGCCATAGCTACCCAGGGGCACGCTGAGAGAAGTGAGGCAACCAGTACACGCCAACGGCGCCACCAACCATTCACATACACTCCAGACACATGTTAGACAATGTGGGTGAAGTGTCATACCTAAGGACACAACAACAGTTTGACAGCCAGGCCCTGCCCCAGCTTCAGAGGTCTTCTTTCTTTCAAGTAATCAATATCAAGATGCTACAAAATTTAAAGAAAGTTTGGAGTTTTCCAAAGGACATTCACAAAGACACGCACTCAAGCACAAGCACACATCGAGAACATGCACAGAATACAACTGATAATAGTCAATGGCAAGGCAAGTTTATTTGCATAGTAGCGTGCCTGCAGGCAAGTGCTTCACAAAACAAGTCATTAAAATCATAAATTATCACAGTGGATTAGAATAGTGACAATGCAATCCTTTAGTGTATACGTGTATGCAGATAAATAGAACTGGTTTTGAACATTGTCAGAGTAGAAGCATGAATCACATTTTCGGGAAGACTGTTCCAGATTTTAGTTGTAACAAAAATCAATAAATAAACCTTGTTCCCCATTCAATTCTGATAACAAATATCAGCTCTTCAAAAAAAATGTGTATTGCCCGAAATCACTACAGCAGTCAACTTGGAGGACTTTACAAAGTTGTCGATTCACCAACAACTGATCAGTGAACCAAACGTTGCAATAATAACAAACACATTGAAGCCATTGGTCCTATAAATGTCTATAAATGATGATCATCATTATAAAATGTTCCCGATCATCACTGTCTTTAGACCCTCCTGCATCGGCAAGGAAACAACAGAGGGGAAGAGGTTGAGAAACCTCTGGGGAGGCTGACGTTCCTTACCCTGTTGTTCCTCTGTTATGTCAAATTTCATGTATAAATTTCCACACATGGAAGATTAAAAATGCATGAATTTGCCGGTTGAGTGGCTAACATATGCTCAGCACTAGGGCAAGGTTGCAGTGCGCCTCACAGTGCTAACATTTTAATAGAGTCGTAATTAGCCATTTCACTGCCTTATTAGCCTCTCGCTCTCCACCCACATCTTTGGCTCTGGATGACCGGAGGACTTTCTTTAGAATGCTGTTTGCTTTGTCTAAAATCTGTGGTCAGGCAAAAAAAATACTTGATATTAGAACATATTTGCATTTACAATTAGATCTGTGATTGAGGGAAGATGGCTGGTTTGTGATATTGCTATGAAATGAGTTCTGGACCTATACATTAAAATTAATACTATTATAGCACTAATGCCCTAAAATGTACAAAATGCTACAATGTAGAAATAGCTAGCACTTCTCACTGTTACGACATATCTGGATTGTGTGGTGCATTCTTTGCTTGTCTGATGTGCTTCCTATGTATTGAATTCCCATATATATATATATAATATATATATATATAGGAATACGTTTGCACTTTCAGACAATACAAATGCAGCTATAACAGAAACATGTCAATAAATATAATTCTAATGCAGTCTTTCCACATGCACAATGGTAAAATGTAGTTTGCTGAATTTTTCAAACTTAGTGTCAAACTTTGTAAAACGGGGTCACTAATTATAACAGCTTTTATTGCAATTTGCCTGCAGTTTTAATTTGATTTCGACAAAACCTTAAAACAAATTAATTACAAAGCTGTGTAGAAAAGTCACTGTTTATATTTGTAAAAAAAATAAAATAAAATCATCTTCACTCTGCTTCCTTTCATAGTGCTTTGTTGATATCAAACACAGTGAAATTAAATGTTATAGTGCGGTTTCTCCTGCTTTCATCAAATTGCCCTAAAACCAAGAACTAAAGTCGTACCAGGCGTCACAGCAAAGTACGAAAACGGAAAAGTGAAATGAAAACAGCATCCCTGGTTACAAGAAGGAAATTTGTTTACAGCTTTCCTCCGACTTAATTGCTACGTCTGGACAGAGTGTATCCTCCTTCATCCCAGAGTGTAGCCCTGATTGCATACTTGGGCTGCTTTGGGATGGGTCCAACCATTTTCGCTGTGCATGTTTTTTCACTTTAAAAGCAAAGGGAAACCATCTCTGCCGTTGCCTATCCTGTTATTATCAATGGAGGCTGCTTATCCGGGACGGCACATTAGTCCAAACTGGAGTTGGAAGAACTTTGGTCTTGTGATTTCAATATACTGTTTAATTCTGTCCCATGTCTAGACCAGTGATAAGCAAACCCTTTGGAGGTTTCTATCAGTACCCAAACCCTTCTCAGTTTGTATAAATATAGTATAAAGACTATAAAATCCCCCTACGCTGTGCTCTGGAGCTCCTCTCTCTCAGCGTGTGTCA